TTGAACACGTTGTCAGTAATATTTTTTTTTCGTGAAGGTAACTTGCAATCAAACGAGATAACACGCGTCGACTAGATAAGAATTTAAAGCTCGTATAATGTATAAATAATAATAAATAAATTAAGCAGGTCTAACTATTTAAATAAATGAGTATCTATTTACCTATGCGAATAAACTAACCAAAATTTAAATATAAATTAAAACAAAAACTACATAAATCTATCCAATATTAAATTAGAGTGTATTGTCCAAGAAACTGGTTCAGGCCAGTTCCAAATCCGCAAACGAATGACCAGAAAAATGGTTGGGCGGCGGGCCTAAGGGTTCCCGAGTTCGATTCCCAGGTTGAGCCTATTGTGCGAGATGTTATACTAGGTGGACTGTATACGCGATGGCTTCTTATGCCTCAACAATATGGCGGATGTGGCACGCGGCACCTTGGACAATGCACCCGCTCTTCCAAAATCTATTGCTTGCCAAGGTTAGGAGAGAATTCTACTTGAGCACATTAGGAGAAACAAATTGGGGCGGATTAACTAACAAACAAAATGCTCAAGTAGGAATAAAATTACGGGAAAACACACTTACCGGGGTGTGATTCTGATGCGGCAGACGACGCTTCCGTTGCGGTGAGTGTGAGTGAGTGAGGTGGGTTCTTCTGGGCGTCCCAGAGATGTGATCCAGGCCAGTGGTGCGAAGGAAGAGAGCGGTGCGCGACGATATTTCACACTATGTGAGGCGGTTACTTCTGGAGCGCGACTGCTCCAGGTGTTGCGGTTCAGACTAACGGCGCGTGGTAAGAGGCCGCTCGGGGGCAACGCACGAGCCTATATTGCCTCGGCTTTCCCACCATTGCACCTCGGTCGGGCGCGCTTCTCATTGGTCGAAAGAATCGCGTCACCTTCTAGACTTCCCCCTTTCCCCTTTCAGTGTGTACGGAAGGGATATTAGGTCAAAGGATGGGTAAACACTTGGCAAATATACCCCCGAACAAAATTAAAATACACGAATCGTTTCCGCGTAACCAATACCTCTACAATTACATTCAACTTAAATAATGTAACTTGAATATCCTGAATGAAAATATTATGCACCTAACAATGCAAATAATACTTTCACATCCATAGTAACTAAACCTGATTATAATTTAAACGTTTAATTGTATTATATATATCTTATATTAACACTTGCTTATCATAAATCGTAAAGGTAACTTAATAATGCGACCACTCCGCGTTGTTTTCACGGTTATCGGGTTGCTCGGGCCGGGTAACGACGACGTCACCGGTGTGGGCGATGGTAACGCAAACCGTACATGCACTGGTACCACATCCACTGCGTTGTCAGCGTTACTGTGGTGTGGCGTTGCTTCGTTACCATCGCATTCCTTTAACACATATGCAGGCTTTAATCTGTCGATAGAAATATGTACCTGTCTATCATGTAATTGAATTAGGTAAACCTTTGAAGCCCTTTTTATCACTCGATATGGACCGTCGTAGGGTGGTTTCAAAGGCTTACGTATTGAACCGTCCCTAACAAAGGCATATTCGCAGTTACGTAAGTCCTTGTGCACAAAAAAACTTTGACAGTTACGTGAATCGTCGGATGTAGGCTTATAACTACGAATAGTATCTCTAATCTTATCCACTAAGCAATAGTCGTTGACGTTACGGTTGTTCGAAGAGCTGTCATAAAAGTCTCCCGGTAGACGTAAATTTCGTCCGAACGTTAACTCGGCGGCGCTAACCCCTGAGTCGCTGCGGCGAGCCCAAGTAATACTGTGGGTAGCTCTTCCACCCAGGACCCATGTGACAGGCGAGCTGAAAGTGCTGTCTTTAAAGAACGATGCCAACGTTCAACTGCGCCATTACTTTGCGGATGATAAGGAGTAGTTCGAATTCTATTAACCCCCAACGTTTTTAACAGCTGGTTAAAAAGACTACTCTCAAACTGACGACCTTGGTCACTAGTTAACTTTATCGGGCAACCGTAACGATAAATCCAACCTTCATATAAATGTTTGGCTACAGTTTCTGCCGTAATGTCGCGTAACGGAAAAGCTTCGGGCCACCTAGTCCTCCTATCAATCATCGTGAGTAAGTATCTATAACCATCTGGTGAGATCTCAAGAGGGCCAACGATATCGATGTGCAAATGCTCAAAACGATCTACTTCTGGAAACTTAGTCAGATTCGATATGTCTATATATATAGTATGTCTGTTAACTTTAGAACGTTGACATTGTATGCACGTTTTTGCCCATAAAGAAACATCACGATTCATACTAGGCCAGAAATACTTTTTAGCTAACATCTTTCGCGTAGAACGAATTCCAGAATGGCTCAGATTATGTAAACTAGCAAAAGCTAGGCGTTGAAACTTCTCCGGTAGATACAGACGAGCTGTATCAGTAGTCATCTCACAAAAAATAGACTTATCTAACATAGGTATAACTAGTTCCTTCAACAAAATATTATCGGTATTTAAACCATACATAACATTCGTGATATAACCATCGCTACATTGCTCATTTGCAATGTGATCGAAATTCAACGCAGTTGGCATAGTCACGGCTTCGATGCGCAATAAGGTGTCAGCTACGATGTTATTCGTACCGGTTATATGTTTTATATTTGTAGTGAACTCACTTATGAAAGCTAAATGTCTCGTTCTTCGAGGCGTTTCGCTTTCATCGCGTCCTACCTTTTGAAATGCAAAAGTTAAAGGTTTATGGTCCGTATACACGGTTATTTCTTGACCTTCAAATAATTTCCGAAAATGTTTTATAGCTAAGTATATAGCGAGCAACTCGCGATCGTATGTGCTATATCGCTGTTGGGTGGTGGTCAATTTTTTCGAGAAATAGCCCAATGGTTTCCAGCTATCTCCATCTTTTTGTTGCAAGACTGCTCCCACGCATGTGTTGGATGCATCAGTCATTATAGCAAGTGCGGAACCTACTCTAGGGTACGTTAATGTAGCGGCCTGAGTGAGACCTGCCTTATATTGCGTAAATGCTTCGTTCGCACTATCCGTCCAGACGATGGGAGTCTTATCATTTTTCTTTGAACTTTTAAGATATTTATATAATTCTCTTAGATATAAAGTAGCGTTGGGAAGATGAGCTCGATAAAAATTGACCATACGGAGAAACGTCTTAGCTCTGCAACAGTTTTCGGCTTCGGAAATTCCACAATTCCCTGAACCTTATCTTGCAACGGCCTGACGCCTTCGGTACTAATTTCGTGTCCCAAAAATTCTAGTTTAGTTTGTCCAAAACGACATTTTGCCAAATTAATTGAAATTCCATATTTATTAAGCCTGTGTTCTGTCCTGTCTTTCTGTATATATTACTCTACTCTATGGTCCCGTCTTTATTCGGTAGCGGTTCCTCTTAGTACTGGGTCGTTTCAGGTTTTTTGTAAAACGAAACGAAACCGTTTTTTTGAAATGAGAAACAGTTCTGAGAAACATTGAAATAATACTAGTTTTTACGGAATTTATCGCGTATATTTAACTTTTTAAATACCCGACGTTTCGAACGCTTTACAGCACTCATGGTCACGGGCAGGACTGAGATGTTCAACGTCCAATGTCATAGTTAACCGCGGTTACCATAGATTAAAATTTAACTTTTGTTCCGATCTATGCAGTATGAACTTATGGTATCTTGAAGTCTTGCAGTTGTATGCTTGGGTTGGGATTTAATTTTATTTATTATAGGATCCCAAGCAGATGGTAGCACCCAGCCATCTTCTCTATTGAAATTAGGATGTTTTTTGATTTCAATAGCCTCGCGAATCATCCTTGGAAGAAATCGGTGTTCTTCAGCGAGGATCTGCGGTCTATCAAATCTGATGCAGTGACGGGGGCGATTCTGTACGTGTTCACAGACTGCAGACTTCCCGGAGCGTCGTCTGAGAAACAGTTTAAAAAAATAGTTTTTCAGAAAAATCCCGCCAGTGTACGTAACGACTTCACCATATGTTTGTTTACAAAATAATAAAGCGAAATTCCCTTCATACTTTTTCCAGGCTTAGGACTGGCTGATAAATGTTACAGGCGTATTTAAAAGTTCATTTTATATACACGTTTTCATTATTTACACTATTTACAATATTAGAACAAAAGATATTTACAAATTAAGTCGGTTTTATCGGTATATTACAAAACTATTAAACAATTAATGTATACAATATATCACACAAAACACTTTTCGCGTGTAAACATACAGTAACTTTTTTGCAAATTCGAAGTTAGTAACACAGTAAGCGTAGACAAGCGTTACTTGACGACAACTGAAACTGATTTAAATTTTAAAACAAAAAACGTACGTTTGACCAAGCTGACATTCACAAACAGTAACATAAAAAAAAATAAGAGAAAGCTTCGGCTTTCTTAAATAACGTTTTTTCTCGGTCCGTTTGTTTTTGTTCAACCGTCTACAACCAAATTTGAATTGTGTAAAGATATAAATAAGATTTATTTTAGCTTTAATCGTAACGTCAAATCAAAAGTAGTTACTGTAACTGTTTTCTATTTATACGACAATAGTTCATAAAGCAATAGTAATAGAGTATTAACTTAGATCCAACCTATGAACCTACCAAACGAACATGTAGTTTGTAAACGTTTTGCGATTGAGACAGTTCCGAGAATGAAATGTAGAAGTGTATTCATTTCGTTCGTTTTTAAATCTAATGTTGGATCTTCGAGAAACTGTTCGTTCGTTTTTCTTTGACAAACTGTTTTTTAAAAGTGTTTCTGAATAAAACGCCCAGTACTAGTTCCTCTTAGTAGTCTGTGGTAGCGGTAGAATCCACTAGTCTGTGCTGTCTTTTTATTTATTTAATTTATATATAATTTTAGTGTAATATTACACATTTTATCTTTGGCAATTAATAACCAATTATGTGTTAATTACTGTAATTTACTATCGAACCTGAAATGTTACTGAGCTTAGGTAAGCTGAGCATACGATTATTTATTTATCAATCATGGTGTCAATAGCTACGTACGTTTTCTTGGATCTTGAAACCACCGGTTTGCCAGTTGAAGAGACAAATCGCACAAAAATTACAGAATTAAGTATGGTGGCGGTAAAACGACAGCATTTATTATTGACCCGTGCCGGTGCGGCCCCTAGGGTACAGAACAAGCTTACTATTTGTTTTAATCCTGGTAGAATGGTGCAGCCGGGATGCACAACTACTACTGGCCTTTGCAATGACCTCCTCGAGCATGAAACAAAATTTAATGAAGATGCTTTCAATGCAATAAATTCATTCCTAAACATTCTTACCAAACCGGTGTGCCTAATCGCTCAAAACGGTCACAATTTCGATTTTCCCATTCTTAAAAATCATTTAGTTAAATTATCTGTGAAATTTTCCGATGATCTTTTATGTGCTGACTGTTACCATGCCTTTTACGATATATTGGAAAAAGTGAAGATACCTCAGTCATGGAAATCTGTGAAGCAAGAAAATCAAGATAAAAGTAGTGAAGAGAGTTTAACAAAGATGGATCCAAAGCAAAAAGTTGGTACAGATGAGGAACTTGATAATAAAGACCACAAAAAGTCAATGCAAGAAATAAATGAGACTACTCCGAAGCACCAAAAAATAAAAATCACTGGAGTACCACGAATAGGTGAACTACAGAGACTGTCCAAAGTACGCAGAAGATTTCCTTGGAGTGATGGAACAAAACCGAGAGATAGTTACAAACTAAAGGACATCTATGAAAGAGTGCTGAATCTTCCAGGTATAGAAGCTCATCGTGCTGAAAATGACTGCATAATGGCTTTACAAGTGTCTGTAGCCTTGGCTAAAGATTTTGTGGAATGGGTTGATGCTAATCACTGCCCGTTCGCCGAGGTAAAACCAATGACTGTTGGAGTTAGACTTGGCGAATAACGGCATTGTTGATCCATGTACTTTAGATATAAGGCTGATTATGCATGTTTACTTAAATCTTATAGATAAATTTTAAAAGCAAGTCATAAGTCCTCAGAGTGGAACTGAACTCTAGTCTTTGGTTAGACCTCCATCTGGAGCCAAAATTCAAGCAGACACAAATTTTTGAGGTTTTAGGTCTTTTTACATTGTCCTTGTGTAAATATATCCTGTGTACAATTTAAGGTATGCTATTAGTATAACTTATCTACAATTGTAAAGCTACTTTAGACAGGGGTAAAGCAGACTCTGTGTTAACCTGCACACTGATAGTACTATGACAAAGTTGTTTTTATCTCTTGTGTTGTTGACTGCTTGCAACATGCAACATATTTTTTTTAAGTTTTTGTTGTCGTCATTAATATACAGTGGGATACCCTTATTTTTTTGAGATACTTTAATTTTGGTAAATTTAACTGTATGCAATTTTTTTATTACACATCTTTTGACGAGTCATTGGTAATATTCTTTATAATAATTATAGTTATATGTTATGGTACAGTATTGTATTTTGTACTGCTTTTGCATAATTTTATCTTCATAATAGATTTTTTTAATTATTGTTCATACATATGTGTAGTATATGGTAATATTATAATAATATGTAAGTGCTTTTTTACTTGAGTAGATAAAGATGCTAGTGGATTGGTAACCATTTTTGATTTTATTTATGTAGATGGAAAATGCACTATCGTAGACAGGGATTGTGTGATAAAGATTTTAAAACAAAATAAGGACAGTGTAATGTTTATTCAACTGTCAAAAAAAAGCAAATGCAATAAAAATAATATTAGGATTTTGATCTAGTGTTGTTAAAATGTTTTTAATACTGAATATGCTACAAGCGCACCTTGTTTGTAACTAAATGGTAATTCTGAAATACAAGTTCAGCATGTAATATAAAGCACAATGCCTACCAAAGTTTTTTCATCAATGTGATATAAATATCCAACTATCAAGTTTAATCTTTTTGGCATGTAATAAATTTCCTAGTAAGATAATATGCAAAATGACTGATAATAAAAATATTGTGTAAACAATTTGGTATGTTGGTTTTAAAGTTAAATGTATTTTTTTAAATTTTTTTTATGTTTGTATTTTTTTATAAGATATTTTGTGACTTCTTGTTTCTTAAAAGTTTTAATTCTGCATCTGCAAATATGACAAAGTTGTTTTTATCTATTGAACTCAGCTAATAGCTGAAGCAGTAATTATGAATAGTACATAATAATTTTAAAGTTTTTTTATGAGATAGTGTGCATTTAATATATTTTTTTATATTACATTTGGTAAATATTTTTATAGGTTTAAGCTTTTTACCTATTTTAAAAATTAAATGAAATTATAAGAAACCAAATAAATGGAAATTTCCTATATTTTTTTACATTATTTATAAAAAGATTTTAAAGTCTTGGTGCTATATTTACCTAATTGTAGAATTTTAATATATTATTAATATTTGCAATAAATAAATTATTTATCATACATTTTATTTTAAATTTTTCTATTATAAGCCGATTCTTGATTCAGGGAATAGAGTGAATGGGGCCTACACTCTATTGTGAAGAACCAAAATGTATCAAAAAGGGCACGTATGGTAATTCATAATGCTGTGTTAGTCCCTACTTTAATGTATGGTAGTGAAAGCTGGGTGTGGCAGAAGAAGCACGAAAGTAGAATAAGTGCTGTAGAAATGCGGTCTTTAAGGAGTATGTTAGGGTTGAATCTGAATGACAGGGTGAGAAATTGCGTAATAAGAGATAAATGTGGTATGCAAGATGATGTTGTGACCAGGATTAAGAAAGGAATGCTTCGGTGGTTTGGTCACGTAAAAAGAATGAATGAGGAAAGAGTGACAAAGCAAATTTATATGGCATGAACGGTAGAGTCGGGAAGAGACGCCCTAGAAAAAAGTTTATCGACCAAATTGGCGATATTTTGAAAATGGGCCACGTTAAAAGTACCCTTAACCGACGAGCATGTATGCGTAGATATATGGATGTAAAGGAGGCGAAAGAGGTATGTCAGGATCGTGTCAAATGGAAGTCCGTAGTCTCTGCCTACCCCTCTGGGTGACAGGCATGAGTGTTTATGATTATGATATGAAGCCGATTCTTGGTACTATTCCATATAATAATATTAAGTGTTGTATCAGAGAAAGATAAAGCATAGTCATTCTTTATCAGTATGCAAAAGTATACTAATAGACAAGCCCTCTACCCTTATAGAGCATTCGCCGTAATCGCCACGCGTGTTAGGTAGTTTGGCGTTTAGCGATTGTACTACCCCAATGGGGTCTGGGTAGTTAGTTTACTTTGTTAAGAATACGAAATCACTTGCAAGTGGCAAGTGTAAAAATCATACATATAATAAAGCAGATTGCTTGGGGAGGCTTATGGTCAGCAGTTGAATTTTTAAAGGCTGTAATTACGGAAAAACGGGTTGCCAACTCGCCTGGCAAGCAAGACGTCTATGGCAAATATATACCCTATAAGGGAATCTATGGGAGAGGTCTGTGTTCAGCAGTGGAGTTTTATAGGCAGCAACCAGCAATGGGTGGGTGCGTGTATATACTTAGCGGGTTTTCGAATGCAGTAACAAACTTAACTAACCTGACCCTTGAGTAGGTGCTTTGCAGAAGCAGTATAAATATGATTTTGAATAAGAATTCAACATCAACTGGAGATACTTTTCTATATATATTTTTTTATAGAATTAAGGTGACAAACGAGCACACAGTCCACCTGATGGTAAGTGGTTGCTGTGGCATTTTACACATTTAACCTAGACATTTCACCCATTTAACCTTGAACTTTTTGAGCGCCACGCCAAAAACGCATTACCGTGTCCTGCCTGTACGCCAAAGCGAAAACGAAAAGTAAACAGAAATACCTACGAAAAAATAGTGTTGCCAAGAGTTGATATATCGATAACACAAAATAACTTGATTTTATTTTTGTGTTTTATTTAATCTTGTGCTGTCTTCCACTCTTTATATAATTATGTACTTTGTACATAAATAAAAAAACAAACAATAAAATAGTAGTAAACCACAACACTACTCTTCATCGTGATGACGTCACTGTCACGACTGGACGACAACGACGTAGCTGACCTTCCTTTTTGAAACTTTCTTAGTGATGTAGCCGTGTCGCACGTTGTGTATCGGTTTCGAAATTGATCTAACCAAAATATACAGAGATCGACTCAAAATATTTTATGTGTCGGGGGAGGCGTAGGCCAAGTGAAGCACAGAAGAAAAGTCTTACGCTCTTATGACAGTGGGGGTTTGATATGATGCGGATGCTACCAGATGATTTTGAGATTGAGAAAGAAAATCGCACAACACAGAAAGAAAAATTGCTCTTCATACCTTAAGTAAAAAAACCATTTATTGTTTGTAATTTTATATTATTAAAATAAAAAAAATTCCTCATCATCGACGCTTTCCAAAATGCGAATGAGTTCTGAGGAATCGTTCATGACGTACTGCACTACTTCCCGCTAATCACTTATCACGTCATCAGGGTGTCATCTATCCTTGACCACAGCGTCCAGTGGACTGATTTTCGATGACGTGCTAAGGTTGCCCCAGAGTTGAGATATTAGATTTATTATGCAAAGATGATTTTATAACATTTTTTATTCATGTAGCTAATTATACTTTTATGTTTATAACCTTTTGTTTTATTCAAATATCAATAATAATAGAAAAAAATAACACGTTTGAGCTGAATTTTGGATAGTTTTCAAGAAATCTATGTCTCCCGCGATCGACACTAGCAGTCAATCATAGACGACTTTGGCGTGTTGGACATAGTTGGTGGAGCCACGTGTTTAAGGCTGCCGAAAATCTAGTTCCCCGGTCAAACCTCAAACCTATTACGCGAGATATTAACTAAAGTGGACTGTATATGCGATTGCTTCTATGCTTATGTGAAGCGACTACTATAGCATGCGGTACAATGCACTCGCTCTTCCCTAAACTAAACTATTACTTGTCGAATCGATGAAAGGAATCCTGCTTGACTAGGAAAAAAACACAAATTGGAGCGGGTTAAATTATTAGCAAGCAGGTATAATTAAGGAGTATTGACTCACCGGGGTTTCTTCTTCCTGTCGATCACTATGGCGGCGACTTCCGGAACACTCCGGAGAGAGGCGGTGCGCGACGATATCTCACACGAGGTGAGGCGGGTTCCTGGAGCTCGACTGCTTCCAGGCCAAAGCGGTTTCCACTAGTGAGGTGTTTCCAAACGAGCGCGCGGGAAGAGGAGGTTGTAGTTCAACGACGACTGCGGCGGGAGAAGAGAGCGCGCGTCGGTCGCGCGTGTCTTATATATCCTCGGGTCCGATGATTACGCGATGTTCTAGAATCGTCTTCTTTCCCCTCCCACCCCACCACCCCGATGTGTCGATAGGAGGGTACGAATGATATTGTTTCGGAAGGGAATAATGATTCGACAAATTCCTACCGTCAAAAATAAAAAACGCGAATGGTTTTCCGCGCAACCATCTCCCCCGCCCTTGAAGGATTTCCTTCAAAAAAAAATAACTAAACAACTAGAGCTAAGATCGACTAACAAATAACTAACTAACGCTAAGATTACCTAAATTAAACTACAATTTCAGTCAAAAAAGCTAATTTAAATTATGGAAGAGGCAAGGGGCACAAACGGATAACCGGACGTAGGTAAGACCCAACCGTGGTCTTAACGCGAGCTATCCTAATTACTCCGTCGGAACCGGGAAAGACCTCCTCGACGATTCCTAACGGCCAGTGGAGAGGCGGCGTATTCTCCTTAGTGAGCACAACTACGGTTCCTACAGCTAAAGGCTCTGTCGCTGTGTTCCATTTTTGCCGAGACTGCAAAGTATGCAAGTATTCCATCCTCCATCGTTTCCAAAACGATTGCACTAACCGATCTAATAATTTGTGGCGTGTGGAAATGTTAAGTCTG